ATAATTTATATTATTAAATTAATTGATATATAATATTATGTGTTTTAAAAAAATAAAAAGTTAATTATTAAATAATATAATATTTATTTTTTTAATATTTTAAATAATATATTTTATATTATGTCATTAATTCTAAATTTTAGTTTCATTTATAATTATTCCACGAATAATATTGTTATTCTTTAGCTTAGAATGCTACATCCATTACATGAATTGCCCGAATCTGAACTACTTTCCCTGTAGCAAAACAACTCTCCTTTTTTGAATTTTTTTCTCCAAATTACTAAGACTTTGGGGAGGAATGATCTATTTTCCTAATATTATTTTAATAAAGTGATAAAAGATACAAATCTGGATAAAGTGATAGAAGATAAACAGAGATTTTTGTGCACCGAGCCCTTCGGGCGAAGTGGCAATAGCCACTAATGGTGCATTCCCCCCTCTCTCAGGGCTGGGGTTTGAACCCAGCCTCTTGTAAAAATCTGTTCAAAAAATAAATAAATAAACAGAGATTTTTGTGATTGGATGTATAATTAAGATAAAGAGATAACAATATAATTAAAGAAAACGATTTTAAGACAACTTTTTTATATCATTTTTTAATATAATTTGACGTGTCATGTAAATAATAAAAAATGATTTTGAGATAATTTATTTGTATAATTTTTTTTGTACAACTTGATATGTCATTTAAATGATTGATTCTTTTAATTTATGTAAGACTCGTGATATTGAATGCATCTACTCATTTAATGACACGTGAAAGTTGTATCAAAATGAGGGATAAAAAAGTTGTCTCTACAACATCGTCCTTAAATAATAGGTCTTTTTATATATGTGGGATCTGTAATATTGAATGCATTCACTCATTTAATGATATATAAAAATTATATTAAAATATGAGATAAAAAATTATCCCTGTAACACGTCCTTAAAAGTATAAAAAAAAATAATTTAATTGAGTTGATATATACTAATTTAAAATTTTTAATTTAAAATATAAAAGGTTCAAACTGTATTGCTCAACAGCTAATCCTTCAATAATTAATAAATTATTGATCATTTTGTACTCATTCGGAGTATTCCTAATACTCTGACTTATAATTAATAAATTAATTATTTGCTGTTAAAAAAAAAAAC